TGAGGAATAATGGGCTGCTTCACTATTGCATGAACACAGAGAACACACTCACTGTCTCATGGAGATCTCAGCACAACACCTCTGAAGACCACAACACTGAACACTGCTCTGAGGAACGAGATGAGGCATTCTACCTGATGATCATGTGACGCGAATACACACAAACACACAGAGAATTACACACACACACACACACACACACACACACACACACACAAAACACACACACAAAACACACTCTCTCTTTCTCAGACACAAAACCACACACATACACACCCTGATTACACACACAGACACACACTCTCTTATACACAAAACAAATAGACACACAAAATCATTCACACTCTTACAACAACAACAACACACACACATACACAATAAAAAACACACTCTCTCTTTCTCAGACACAAAACCACACACACACACACACACACACACACACACACACTAATGGCTAGTATGTAGCAGTGTTCATGAATCAGCCTCTGACTGAGTCTCTCCAAGCGACACAAATGATCCAGAGAGTCAGAGAGCGCAGTGCTGTTCTCCAGTTCATCTGCTTTAATTACACAGCAGGAATCAGACCTCTGTGTGTGTGTGTGTGTGTGTGTGTGTGTGTGTGTGTGTGTGTGTGTGTGTGTGTGTGTGTTCAGCTCCAGGGGTTTGTGCTGTTCATATGGTCAGCGTTTTCTTTATCACAGACGCTCAGACTGAACAGATGAGAGAGCCAGCAGGTGGACTCGACACCGTCGTAGATTTAATTATATAAACACAACAAGTGAAAGATCTGATAGTCTAACTGTAGAAAGATCCAGGGACACGGTGGCTCAGTGGTGTCGCACTGTGACCTCACAGCACTCAGGTCTCTGGTTCGAGTCACGGGGTCAGTTGGTGTTTCTGTGTATGAGTGTTCATGGGTGTTTCCCCAGTACTGGGTTGCAGCTGGAAGAGCATCCGCTGTGTAAAGCATATGCTGGAATAGTTGGCGGTTCATTCCACTGTGGCGACCCCTGATGAATAAAGCAACCCAGGCTCATTCTGAAAACGTAGTCCAGCGGACGTTTCTGGAGACCACAAAATACGTCCCAGGAGGTGTGTACGGCTGCATTTCATTTTTTTAAGCGATACGGGGCGGTGTGACGCCGTTCCCTTTCACGCTTACCGGCTGACCGCTTACCTCCGTGGGGAGGGCTTTCCCGCCGCAATCAGTTAGTCCAATTAGCTCATCGTGTGCATCGGCAGACTTCAGATGCAGAGAGGAGGAGCTGACAACAGCGAGCGGGTTCGAGGCCGGGGAAGAGCGGCTCCAGAAATCACGCAAGACAAAAACAGAATCCGAAAAATCAAGAGAACGAGTGAATAACAGGGTGAGAACGTGGTGAAATCTGAAAACTTGGTGAAAAAAAGACTTTTCTTTTCCTAGACGGCTTTAGGGAAGTGAGCAGGCGAGCGGGTCAATCGGTAAAACTGGTTGTGTTCAGTGAAGGAGGAGGATGGGTCAGCCGATTGGCTGGTCGCACAGTAAATTATTCGGTCAGTCAGACAGCGGCCTCTGGTGGGTTCACGCAAGAACAGCGCAGGTGCGAACAGTACTCACGAGAGACGTTCGAGATATGAAAAAGCGCACACAGCGGCCTCTCCCGGGTTCGCGAAAACAAAAACTGCACAAATACGTACCTCTCGGGACGTATTTCGCGAAACGTCCACTGGACTACGTTTTCAGAATGAGCCTGGGTTGATTTGTCTTTTTTACAGATTTTAAAAAACATAAGAATAACCTTTACTATTGATTGTAACATGTAAAAAGCATTTAATTACTAATTACATCAATAAAACTGTATTTAAATGACTTTTCTAATTACTGTGTCTGAAATGTAACAGTTTTATTACCTTAACTCAATACTATTTGTAATACCCATGAAATGCAAATTAAAAGTATTTACTTTACATAAAAATGAAAATATTTAGGCACTTTAATAGCAATCATAAGATTCTTTAGTTAACAAGCGGGATCTCTTTTCTTTAGTTACTGTAACTGTTATTTTGTTATTGATGATTAGAGCCAGACAGAATCTGCAGACTAACTGGATTTCACATGATTTTATATTTAAGTTTTTATGAAAAATCATGTTTAAATGTGAGCTTTAAACATGATCATCTGGCTTTTCAGAAAGATTTCCAGAACCTTTATTTTCTCTGTTCCTCAGCGGTGGAAGTCTCAATAACAAGATTTATTTGTACACTTACCATTGTACTGCAATGCAATCCACAGTTTTGGTCATAAAACTCAGCATTAAAATCTAATGTGACAAATATTATCAGAGATATAGAATCAAAACTGATCTTCATCTTGTTTAATGTGCTGAAAATGGTCTGCTATTTTGTTTTTCATTAACTTACATCACAAGTGTTCAAGTTTTATCTTACTGTCTTCCATGTGAATATCAGCGTCTGTACCAAAGTGCATATTTTTGAACAATTTGAGTTTGTGAATAAAGCCGAGCCACATCATTGCTTCATCACAGTGGACGAGCCATAAAAAACCTGTTGACTTAGCTGCAACACAAAACCTAAAACATTTATGCAGACTGTAAATTTGTCTGTTTCAATATTTAATTAAACATTTACACTTCTGAAAGCCAGCATGAAATGAAGTCAAGATCTGCAGTTATCTGTCTCTGTTTGCAGATGAACTTGCGACTTTTGTCCCTGTTTAATCCAGTATTTAAAAAGTTTCCTGCACATGTGAGATTTGGACTCAAAGACTACACATGAATAAATAAACCCCTGCGAGCCGCACGGAGCTCCCGAGACGGAAGTTCCTCAAAAGTTCATCATCTCAAAATATTTGCAGAGCAACGACTCCAAGCGAAATGTTCCATCACCCGCAGAGACACCGCAGAGAATCTGAATTATTCATCACTTTATTCACAACAAAAACAAGTAAAATATGAGATGCCAATGTGATGATGGTTATCATGAGGATGCTGAGGCTCGTGTTAATGATGAGAACTTATTTACAGGGTTTAAACACTTATAAACAGAGCATTCAGAGAGGATGCACAAACAGCTTTAGACATGTTAACAATATCCGGCTAAAATCCAGCTAATTTGATCATCTTCAGCTTGTTCTGGGGAGCAGACACTGGTTTACACTGTAGTCAGAAGGTAATTCTGTTAGACCTTCATATTTGTCAGAAATCAACAGTTTATCACCTCTATTAAGGTTTATTTGAGAGAAAAAAAGAAGAACATGGCCAAAAACTGCAGCAGATGACTATAAAATGGGGGCTCGTCCGGGATATGATTTGATGATTATGTTATTTGTTGTCTTTAACAAATAACAGTTGTGCAAAATGTAAAAGTTGTACAGTCTCCTTGAAGACATGTTAACATAGCATACTTACTATACTATACTGTACTGTACTATACTATACTATACTATACTATACTATACTATACTATACTATACTATACTATAGCCAGTTAAAACACTGGCTAAAATGTATGCTTTGATTGTTCTCGAGTGGTTTGTGAAAGGCCAAATGTTGGTTTATATTGAGTCTTTCAGGAGGTCATTTTAATATACTCCCATATATGTCAGAAATCAACAGTTTATCACCTCTCTTAAGACTAATCTAGAAAAAAAGGAATGATTCAAAAAATAAATGCAGCAAATGACTATAAAATGGGGGCTCGTCCGGGATATGATTAGATGCAGGTCATGATAATGCAGGGGTTTATGATGATGACTTATAATCCTTTAAAATACAATAAACAGAGCATCCAGAAATGCTGTACAAACACTATAAAGACATGTTAACATTATACGGTTAAATCACTGACTAAAAATCTAAGGTTTCCTTGTTTTTGAAAGGTCAATTACTGGAGTTTTCAGGAAGTCATTTTAATATAACCTCAGAAATCAAGATTTTGTTATATCTCATATAAAGACTAATTTGAAAAAAAAAAAGAAAGAAATGATACAGCAAATAAATAGATCAAATGACTATAAAATGGGGGCTCGTCCGGGATATGATTAGATGCCTGTCATGATAATGCTGGGTTCTGTTTATGATCATAACTTACAATCCTTAAAAACCAACAAACAGAGCATTGAGAGAAGTTGATGAACATCTTGAAGACATGATAACACTACACGGCTAAAACACTGGCTAAAACTGTATGGTTTGATTGTTTTCAAGGCCAAATACTGGTTTTTACAGAGTCTTTCTGGAGGTCATTTTAAAATACCTTCACAAATTACTATAAAATGGGGGCTCGTCCGGGATATGATTAGATGCTTGTCATGATAATGCTTGGGATCTTTAAAAACCAATAAACAGATAATTCAGAGAAGTTGTACAAACATCTTGAAGACATGTGATGATTATATGGCTTAAACACAGGCTCAAATTGCTTTTTGAATGGTTTGCAAGGCCAAAGACAGGTTTATGCAGAGTTTTTCAGGAGGTAATATACCTTTATTTTTGTCAGAAATCACCACTTTTAACATATGCTCCACAAAAAGGAGAGATTCACTGAATAAATAATGCAAATGTCTATAAACTGGGCGCTCATCCGGGATATTTTTTTTGCACAAAATATACTTACACTTAGGTTTTCTTCTGGTTCGTAATCCGGAATTTAACGTCTGACTGTTGGAGCCTCGGTTCTGTGAAGAGAAACACAAAGAAAGATTAAAACATTTGCAAGAACATGGAGCTAATCTCCTTTCCCTCGTCACACCGCTGCCAATGTGAGCATGCATGAGTGAAAGTCATTTGACGGACCTCTGAGGTGAAACTTTACAAACTCCACAAAGTCTGAAAGTCATCAGAAAACTGGACCAATGTCAGAGAACAAACTCACAAACTAAACTCTGGTGT